AACGATTACTGAAGGACAGCTATTTTATCACCGAGGGACATTTTTCAACATGAGTCCTTTCAGAAAAAAAGTCATAACTCATTCTAGGAACATCATTTTGAGTTCAAACTTGCACCAGATACTCTATGGTGTCTGTGGACCATCCAGTTAGAGTATGAAGGTAGCTATTGTATAGTTCTGGAAATCCGTTGCGATTGAACAGAAGCTGATGTAGCGGGATGAGCTAAAGGAACTAAAAGTCCTCAGTTCTATCATAGCTTCTCTGGTTAATGTGCGTCAGAATTATGTAAAAACACAGCCACGAAAACCTACAATGGTGAAAAACGTAGGTGAAGTTTATCAGAAATACACACTCATCTCGCTTCCTCGCCATTTTACTTATATTGTACCTAAAAAAGTAGCTGTCCGTCCGTAATCGTTATAAGCTAACACTTTAAATTTATATTGTACATAGACGAGAGTCATTTTGGCAAAAAGAAAAAGTTTGTACATCTCTCTTGGATCGAGAATTACTAACATTTTACGAAAAGAAATGAAACGCTTATTTCTCACGATCCACCCAGTAAAAGAGGTTTAAATTCGGTGGGAAATCAGCATTTGGTGATATTTTGCATCACACTAAATTAGAAGCTCATAGCTATCATGGTTCTTAAGCTCTACTTTTCCGGAGTACTGTATGAATCCTTGTATTCTCAGCTCTCAGAGAATAGATTGTCGGCTGAACGTTTATGACTATTTTCCCGTAAATGTGTACTATCATCGTTATTGTTGGCTTCTGTTCGTAGAGGTGGTGGTGGTTGTTGTTGCACAATAACATTTTGTGCTTCTTTTCTCTGCGAGCTCATACTGATCACAATACTTAATGTAAAGATTGTACAAACACACAAGGCAATTCCAATATATTTCCACTTGATTGATGCTTGCACTTCTTTTCGGTAACCAACCAAGCCTAAACCGAGATTAGCATTTTTATGCAATAAGGTTTCACTTTGATTCAAAAGTAAATTTAGTTGTTCTTGTCGATAAGATGTTTGTCCTATTGCTTCGACAAGTTCTTTTTCGGTTTGATCAGCAATGGCATCGATTTGTTTCACTTCACTAATTGTCACTTCTCCTCTGCTGGATAATTTTGTAAAATTTTCAACACTCATAATTCTTTCACTTTGTTCGACAACTGAATAAAATAAAAAATCATCAGGGGCTACTATGTTTAAATGATCACGAATACTTTTTGTTACATATAATAGGGGACAAAGATCAGATTGAACCTAAGCAAATAATGAATTAATGGTATGATGTACTTTAACCGTTCAAAAAAATATTCGCTTACACAAGACAAAAACGAAAAGCACTTTACGAAATTTTTTGTTTAAATTGATAGAAGCGCCATGAAAATTTAGTTTTAACTGACGTAACAGATACTACTGATCGTCGTTTTTCTTTTTCCCGTAGTCGTACAAGTATTTTTTATTTTCTGACTTTGCTTTATTCACTTTACATATTTACATCAGAGACAAAATAATATAAAATCGCGCTTGGCCTTAAAAAATAGCATTTTAAATCAACATAAAAATTCTATAAGATCTAAGTTGTTAATCACGCCAGATTTTTTTTATGTACTATGCAGTTGAACTAACTCCAACTGGAGCCGTTGAATTCGGTTGTATCGATTGAATATCCCCAAAACCAGATCCTGGTCGAGGCACGGATGGCGTACTAACTGATGAAAAATATTTTAGAAAAAAGAATGACACGGCCATATTGATCGCCATGAAAAAGATAGTGCCAATACCATTGATAGACCTAAGAAAAACAATTTATTCACAAAACTAAGTTTAATAAACTAAATGTATTTCACCTACCAAACAAACCAGTAATTTGATAAACATGCTGTAAATCCAACCGACACCATTGTTGCTGTCTGAAAATGATAGAAAAATAATAAGAAATAGCTTCATGATAAAGAAATCTATTGAAAGTTTTCACATGTGGCCTCCTACTGTATTTGTAATCTGGTCTTACTGTAAAATAATATATTCAGATGAGAAGACTTCTCTACACTATTAAAAATCTGTGTTCTCCCGTTCTTTGGAGAACATGGTGAAGAACACGAATGTGTTCTTTGAAAACTGAAGAACAGAACATATAGGACTATATAAGAACAGAATATATATGTTCCTCAGCCTATTTTCTCGATTTTGTTCATCAGCGGAGTTTTTGTTGTTCAAAAAATTAGTTCTTCATTTTTATAAAGAACAAAAAACGAATTCTTACTCTCCAGAGAACATAATTTTTGTTCTCCAGCTTTTTGAAGGATGTAAATCATATTTTTGTTCTTCAGAGAACAAGAATCCACAGCCCATTAAAATATTTTGTTTATGAAAATGTCGGCGCAAATTTGAGGAGAGACGATGAATGCGATCAAATAGTAATAAAGACTGCCTTCTACAAACTCAAAACAATAAATAAACAAACATTTTTTTGCGAGCTGCATGATCGTCCTTAGCTTTTGTCGAAATCTTCTCGGAAAAACCATTGATTTTTGAATGATTATCCTTCTTTCAGATTCGATTCTATCGTCGTTTTGCCTGTTTGTTTTCATTTGTGCTACAGAGAAAATTTAGAAGTAAAATAGGAGGTCGAGATTGTGAGGTGTAATGATGTTGTTTTAGTCTTCCTGTTTGACCTTCAGGCTTTGCCGATTAGCTTTTTTAGGCTATAAGACTGTTAGAAGAAAATAAGCTTATGAGCGCATAGTGTTTTGAGATTCATTTGCCAAATGTGTCTCGTAATCTAATTTTATTTGTTCCATTTGAAGGTTTTCTGAATTCACATTTCCGAAAAAGATTAATTTACGAGAATGTTGCTCTACTCAGTTAATGCTGTCTCGTTTTTCGACTTTTGTTGCGTTCTAGGTGTTGCTAATCGAAGATAGTCTTCTGCAGGACATAACTTCGAGGATGTTATCATCAGAATCAAGTGAATTTGAGAATGAAGTATTGTCGATAAGCGGATGCAACATTGCTCGTTTAATTGATTTGTTTCAAAAACGTGAATTTAAAAATCATAAGAAGTTTTATGTCATCTAGTTCTTAACAATAAGTAGGCTAATTCGAATTTTCTTATTAACTGTAGCAGTAAAAATACTTTTTTCTTAAAATGCTTACTCATGTACTTTTATTAATTTTTATATTAAGGATTCAAAAGAAGTTCTTGGCCGGCTATACTAGTATGTCACGATTCCATTACTTATTTCAAAATTGGTTTAGATTCAAATCAGCTTATTAAAACAGCTAATTCATTAGACGCAGTAGTGATATGGACAGGTCTAGTTCATTTGTTCAATATTGATTTTTATAAAGGGACAAAAAAGACTAACGAATTGTTTGATTTTATTTTATTCAAAGAAGCCGCGGTAAGTGGTGAAAATGCTGTTCGAACGTTAATTAAAAAATTACAGTCACCTTAAGCACATAGAAGGAGATTTTTAAGACACTTATGAGATTTCTCTTTTTTTGTGTGTTATCTATCTACTATTATTCTTAATTCTACATGTTTGTTCGTCTGCCACTTATGGCATTTGTGATTTCTGCCTTTTTGTGTTCTCTCCTCAATCATGTAGTTGAATTGAGTTGCGGTTGATTACTTCATTGGATATTAGATTTTCTAAAGGGTACTAGCTAGCTCAACCCTCCCTAATCTGATGTAAAACAAGGCGAAGAAAAAAATTTTTGTTCTTCAGAAAACTAAAGATTCTTGTTCTGCAAATCTTTGGAGAACACATGTGATCTCTATAGGAGACAAATGAAGGTTCTTTTTTTTGTTTTTTGAAGAACACAGACTTTAACAGTATAGTCAAGTACGTATGAAAACCAGTTTCTTTTTAATAGATACGACTTATTTTATTATACTAAAGGTACGACTTGTAGCATGCAGAAACTCACCTAAAATGATTTGAATTCAGAATTAGCAACCGTCAACCAGTAGCGCAAGCGTTTAAAAATTAACTGTTTGAGTCTGTAAATGATTTAGCTGTTAAACCTGACTGCCAACTATTTCTTATTAGCACACTGTAACATTCAAAACATTCAACTTTTCCTTTTTTATTTCGTTTCTTTTGTTATATTGTTGTTTTTTCTGTTTGTTATTTTAATGAAGTGTAGCAAACTTATTTTTGTGTATTCAATGGTAACATAAAAGATTTGTTTGTCAAAGCAGAGTGTAATTTTAATAGTTTAAACGAATTGTATTGTTCAACAACAAAATCCCATTTAGCAAGTGAAAGGACATGATATACTAACTGACACTTACATTGCAGCATGCATTACACAATATTTTAAGTTCAATTACGCAAGATCATATTGAAGAGGCGTTTACGGCTTGGACAATTTTTGTTTTGAAGTTTCTAATAAGAATCTTTTAAACATTTCATAAGAAGATGATAAGAATCCTTTATCAGATTCTTACAAGATTTTCGCAAAATTATTCTCTATTCAATTCGTTCCAGTAAGATTTCATAGAAATAACTTTTTTTTCTTGGATTTTTGTTAAATCAAAGAATTTTAACAACGCAGTCGCATATCTAGAACCCGCTATCATAAACTTTAAACTATGTGCACTAAAGTATATTCCATCGGAGTACATACCATTTCCATACTCAAATAATTTCTACCGTGCAACTTTCGTGCCACTGCTTATATAAGAATTTGGTAAGAATTGGATAAGATTCTTAGCAAAAGCGGATAAGAAACTGCCAAGATCTTACCAGATGTCTAGGGTAGATCTAATTCGCTTACAAGAAAGTTTAGGCAAGAAAGTGGAATCACTTTAACGTGTCAAACAAACGAACCTCTGTTTAACTCGGCTTTATTTGACTCTCTTTGTGGAGATAGCTGTTCAAATACGGGCTATATGTTATATTCATATGTTTTTGTCTGTAATGAACCTTTTCTCTTGTCTCACATAACGTAACCTACACAACTGATATCTCCAAACTGCCATTAATTACTTAATAAAGTTCATTCATTCATTTACTTAGTTCGTTTAATGTTATATTCTTTCTCTACTGCTCAACTTAATTCTTGCCTTATACAGGGAGAA